GAAACTGCAGATATCCATCTTTCTAATTTTTTGATTTACTGGTACCCAATTTTTATCCCAAAACTCTAAATATCCTCCACTATTTTTATTAGAACATTGACGGTTACTTCAGTTATTAGTTCTATTTTAAAAGGTTAACCTTCAATTCCCTTTACACACATAACACTAATTCTAATGGTGTAGTTACTTATAGCTGGCACATTGCGGGCTTGTGCACTCATCCCGGTCTATCTCTTTTTATCACATGGAGGGTATTTTTGGCATTTTAAAAACTCTAAATATCCTCCACTATTTTTATTAGAACATTGACGGTTACTTCAGTTATTAGTCCTATTTTTAAAGGTTAACCTTCAATTCCCTTTGTGTTGGAGTGTTTTTTAATCCATACAAATTCTCCATTTCAAACTTCTTTAAACATTTGCTTCTCTCAATCCAAATCCAAATGATGATGATTCTTACATACTTTATGAAAGGATGGGGATGATGATGATGAAGGGTATGTTTCATTTCCATGCATGCAAAATGTATACCTTTCTCGCATGCCACTCTTAGTTTTAGATACATAACTTGATGTCGAGAAAATGGTATAATTTTGATCAATTTGTCATCATATATAGTTTTCTTTCGATCATTTTCATGTACAAACGCTTAAAGATTTACTGATAATGTGAAAATGATCAGTAGATTGAATCTAATTAATCTTTTGCGACTTGGAAGAGAAGTTAACTTTACACCATTTGCCAGCATTTTATTGAGAAATCGACATGGCAAAGCTTTTCCAGTTACATGGAAGAAACCTGATACTGGTGTGATTAAGTTAAACTTTGACGGATCTTTTAGAGAGAAAACAGGTATGTCAAGTATTGGTGGTGTTTTTAGAAATCACGATGCCAAGTTTGTGCTCGGTTATGCAGAACCAATTGGAACAACAAGTAGTACAATTGCTGAATTAATGGCGCTTCACCGTGGGCTAGAACTGGTATTAGAAAATGGCTGGGATAATGTATGGATTGAAGGAGATCCTAAGACATTGTTGGAAATAATTTTGAACAGCAAACGCGTTCGGTCTGAAGAAGTTCATAGGCTTGTCAGAAATATTAACCTGATCATACCAGAATTAAACAACTGCCATTTGAGTCATATATATAGGGAAGGGAATAGAGTTGCTGATATGCTGGCCAGAATGGGTCATGACTCCAAATATCCTCGCGTTTGGCAAAATGATCCTCCTGAACAACTCCTACCCATACTTCACGAAGATGCAGAAGGAGCAGGCATTTTGCGCAAAAGATAATTTCAATGTAATTTAAAACTTTTATAGTATGTTACATTTATTCATAATTACATGTATATATATAACACAGATCAAAACTTGATCTGTCGTAATTTTTATTTTGCTAGTTCTTGAATATTTATTCGAACACATGATAACATAACTAAAAGGCAACGAACTACTTAGCGCTTCTTTGCGAGTTGTTGAATATTTATAGGAACACATGATGATGAACCACTGAAACAATCTTTCGCCATAGCATTGTTCACAACTTTAGTTGGGTCAAATGAATCCCAGAATATGAATTGAGTTCTATCTTCGCATGGAACGTTAACTGAATCACGAACACAACTCCCCGCATTGCCATCAACTTCACAAAATGGAGTTTGTGCTGCAGTGAATCCTACACAATTATATATAACTGTTAGCAGAATGTCTGTAATCAATTCAGAAATATAATTATGCATAATGCATTTATGTACCAACTTCTGACGAATTTCGGCTCATATTGTAAGCATCTCCATGAATAAAAGTCGAGCCTAGGAGGATCCTTTCTAGGTTTGTTATCACTTTGGGCAGCTTAGTGTTATATAACAATACCAAATTGTTAACATCCTCTACACATGGAGTAGTGGGTCTTGGACTAGCAGTGTCTACTACAGCCGGAATACACCCAACTCGGAATATATTAAACACCACCAACTTTCGGGCTCCTAACTGGTACAAAGTCTGTCCACATACAGAAGTTAACCAATTCGATTGTCATTCGATCCTCTAATGGTATTATATATTGAAATAAAAATCTTCTTACATTATTCCTACCTTTATACATACGTAGTGTGAGGCGATACAGAAGAAGATCTGCAAATTGTTCAGGAGTATATATCTGGCTACTGTTGTAGTTATCTGGTTGAAGATAGTTGTTTATATAGTCATTGCTTCCTATGAAGATAACAAAGATGGACTCTGACAAGTACTTGGTAATTTGAACTGGGTTCTTGTAGACTCTGCGCAAATATATTCTCTTAGTATCTTTGAAGTAGTCAATCCGCTCGTCCAAGGACAAGTTATCACCCTACATAATTCCAGTAAACACAATAACATTAGTCTGCAGATTTGAAGATCAATATATGGTTAAATCAAGCAAGTTACTATGAGTAGTATAATGTATGAACAAGGCCGTCTCACTACTGTTGTTGTTCCAGATTCAGAATGCCAGCTGATCCAGATGCGTAATTCAGTCCTGTTGTAATATTGGATTTCTCTTCTGTTGAAAGACCCAAATATGCTGGCACAAATGGTAGGCGCAGCTAAAAATAACACACAACCATTAATCAGAATAACGAAAACGTTGATAAATATGACAAAATTATATGTGATATGTACGTTTTTTTCGTCTCTACAACATACCTATAAAATCTACAAATGTTTTGCCATTAGTAAACCTCCCTGTAGCTCCATCTGGGAAATCAATACCATATGGTTTGTAATTTTCTCTGGCCCTTGTTTGAAAAAAATTATTGTTTCCACTATCACTGAAAGAGTCTCCGAAAACGTATAATGCTGGTGCAAGGGGACTACTACTACTATGGCCTTTCACCACCAGCAAAGAATGAAGGCAAATTATACTGACAAACAAGAGAAGAGCCATGGAAGAGTTGTTAGTCATCAACTTTTTGTTTTTCTGTCGGTTGTATTTGATCAACAATTGAAAGATCAACAACTGAAAGATTCCAACATTATTAAGCACTAATCAAATCATCATCGAACGCACGCGTCTGTTTTGAATAATGATGCTAATAAAATATAAATGGATAGCAAAATATTATAGTGCACTTATGCCATTGACTCTGATTATGATATTTAATGATAATAATAATCTCCAAACCCTGAAATCAATTGTTAATGGTTTGTAGATAAACAGAATGATGATCTTTCCAATTCTACCATATAGAGCCTTGAGCTTGTCAGTCAGGCTCTTTTTGAGACTTACAACTTTGCCTATACATTGTACATGGGTTGGGTATGGAGTTTGGTGTGTCTTTTCCCTAAAGGAGTTGGGACTTGGGTGCATTCATTTTATTAACTCGACAAATCACACAAAAGTAGAGAACAAGCGCGCTACAAACTAAGCTGCTAGTCCTTGTTGAATAGCAAATCCGATTCTCCTAAATATATATTCATTGAAACTAGTAATCATCACTTTGCTATCTATTAAGGATATATTACTAGATTGGAAGAATACCTTGGCTGGAGCCTGGACAGTGGTGAAACAGGGGTGCAAGCACACAGGGAGCACTTGACTGTCAGGAGTTTAGAAGCAGCAGCAAACAGGTTTTTATAAAGAAAAAAGACAATTTTTCCTGGACTGGACTAAAATGATCCAAATAGAAAGGCCTGTTATGGTAGGGTTTCTTCCTTCTCTTCATGACAGGCAGTAAATTTTTTTTTTTGTCTTGTAGTGGTCTTGTAATGGCTGAACATTTGCAACACAGGGTTCACTGAATGCCCTGGCCGGCGGCAATGGCAGACTGCAGGAAATCCCTACAGAGAATGTGGAAGGCTATGAATTTTTATTTTTATGCAGACTGACAGGCACATTTGGAAGCTGGGGACTTAGAAATACTGACCTGGGGTTTTAGCAACAGCAGCCAATGTTTGATTAGTTTGACAGTTCAGGGACTTGAATGAAAGGCAATAAGAAGGACATGGACATGCCAAGTTGAGAGATAGTTGTCACTGGAATGGCCAGCAGCAGCAGCAGCAACAAGCCAGTAGCAGTTTTGGGGAATTTAACAACAACTTTGCGAACAAATGTAGCGGCCCAAGGGAAGTCTCCAACTGGCAACTTTAGGCAGCAGGTAATCAGGTATGTTTCTCTTTGCAGGCTGGACATGCAGCCATGCAGGAGTTTATTTGCAGGATCTAATCTGACGGTAATGAGTTCCGCTATTCAGGCATGTATGTTATTACATTTTATCAGAAAAAAACTGTGAATCACTCTCGAATTTTATTCGGGTTTATAATAGTAAAATAGATCAAAAGTGGTCAACTTTGGAGCTGATGCATGTGCTAGTAAAAGGGTTCATTTAACTGAAAATGAGGTGCTATGGTGGAGTTCAAAGCCGCCAACATTTCATCTACCTATGGAAAACCCTTTCTCTACTTATTTCAGATTTAGATAGGATTTTGGTTTGTAAGAATAATAGCATTAAGCTACTTATTTCTCTACAACACTCATTGCCAATTGGTTTTGAGTTGGACCCCCAGGACTTCTATATGGTATCAGAGCGGGATTTTATTCTGGGCCAAAGGTTCATGTGTGATCCATGTCACCCGTTTAATAAATCCACGTGTTAAACTCAAAATCATGCCACTCAAAATCTGATTATTGATTCTATCTTTTTATAATATAT